TTTTGAAGTGACATGCATTCCTAGAGGAGTGAAATAGGCTTGACCGACCTGTCCCTTTGCGGATGTCCAGAATTGTTGAGCTACTAGAAGTACATCACCTGCAAGACATCGCGAGACGTTTTAATATCCATGTTTGAGTTTGGGCAGGCAGGCTGGCAGTGGCTCTTGAATGTTCTGGGAATGCCTGTGTGCAAGTTTGCCGTACTTCATGTGCTGTAGAAGAACACGTACCCACGCAGCCGGTGCAATCAATTCTTATCCAAAAACGCATCTTTGCATTGGAGCACACATGCCCCGCCTGTATGCTCAGATGCCCTCTCACTTGCCGCTTTCCTCAACTAGGGACCCGTGCATCGTGTCCAATACTGAGGGTTTGCAACTACTTTTGACTTCCAATAATGGGGACATCCAGGTTGGACTGGCACGGTGGCAATGGGGGACCTGCTTGGCATCCAAGCAGGGGGTGGAGTGTCACAACGGTTGACTCATGCCCAGCGGCCAACAGATTTGGAGAAGGCAAGAGTTACTGATATTACTGTAGATATCATTCTGCAAGCTGCCATAGAGTCATACTGTCCTTATGAAATATATTTTGCGACTCTTTGGATGCTGCAGTCAGCCGTCGGAATGAAAGCACGGCCTGGGACGGAGCTTGGCAGTGCGTCGATTATGGAATGTTAAAACACAGGCTGCAGGATATTTTGCGCTGACTCCATGATGCAGTTCTAGAAGTATTGAGGAACCCATATCCTGTGCTCTGTACTTGCTGCACCTCCTGCTCAAGCAATTCTTGCCTAAGCTGGAGTCCTATGCGAGGCATATTGGCAGATTCTTTAAAATACACGGCTAGGGTACGAAAGCCAGTCATAGCATCAGCTGCATCAGCTCACGCACGTTTGTTCGCTGCCCCTTGCCCTTGGCTGACGAGTACGAGATTCACTCCAATCCTGTAGGCCATGGCGACTGGTGGGGAACCCAGATGAACAGATTGGCACCACAAATTGCAATCCACAAAATATTGGACATTGACAGGCAAAAAAAGACTACATACCGATTTATGAAGCAGACAGTTATTTCATACCGTAGCGTGTTTGCTTGATCCCATGGACGAATGCAACATGAGCAAAGGATAAAGGATGTTGCACTCAGACTTGCAGATAGAATGTCGGGTCGAGATGCCTTCAACTTTTGTGCTATATACCCAGATGAAGCTGAAGCACCTCCTGCACAGACCAAGCCTTAGTTTGAGCATTTGCAAGCCAAAAGTGCCTGGCCTACTTCTGCATCGAGTCAACCAGAGTGCCCTTGCGTTTTTACGAACATCAGTTCCAGCCAATCACATTAGTCATGGCCAAACAGCGGCCGTATACTCAAACAACCACTAGTGGATTGTCAATGTTTGCGTTGTGAAGGCCAGAAGCACCTGAAGCCGGGGAGACAGCTGAGGAGGACAGCCCAACCAGGTGTGTCAGCAGCACTCCTGTTGCACACTGGCAGGAGAACAAGGACAAACAGCCAGGAGGTCTTGACCTGAGGACCGAAGTGTATCAAGTACCTCCGGACGAGTTTCAGGATATATACTCTATTTTGGCGTTGAAGTTGTGAAACTGGCTGAAGCGCATAAAACCACGCTGAAGCCGGTAATTGACACGTCAAACCATTCCAAGCCGTTCAAGAAATTGGAATAAGTATGAATAACTCAGATTTGCCTTGCTGAGGATAGCCGCATAGCCCACACGGCCAAGATAGTCCACATATTGCATGTCATAATAAGCCATAAGCAGCTTGCGATGGATAAGTCAAGCCGCAACAAGCTGATACAAGCTGCAACATGCCACAACCCTTATTGAGACTCAAATTACACCATCTCCAGCTGAGTCAGATATTCACATCCCACTTCAGTACCTTGCTAATTAAGGATTTCTTGGCGCTCTCTGATCAACTAAAATTGAACCGATGCTACAACTATTCTGCAACGAGTTTGTAGTAGGAACAAATGGCAGCATTGACTCTTTTTGGATCAGGCCTAAAAAGTATCGGCACTGCGTCCAGACTCGAAATCCGTCCCGCGTCCTCACTAGAGGCATTCACATGTTGTGTAGTTCTGCTTATATTCATTACTCGCATTATTGAAGAGCGCACAATCTACTTATCAGTCTTGAATGTAGAGCTCCTCGTTTGTTCAATGACACCGACAAAACACGACTACTTCTCTTTGTTTAACAGTCGACCCCTCTCGGTGTTTTCAGTGCACTTCACCTTTGGGACACCGCACAGTACTTGCCGTAGCATGTCTGGACTTGTCAGGGCTTCAGCAGCATGTAATACAGGTTGGCTCGGCGTGGCGTTCTCCTGTGGAAACTGAAGTCTCTACAATTCCTTGGCTTTTCGAACGCAGTGCGGCGGAGTGTGTTGGGATTTGGGTACGGTCGGAGGCCTTGCTCTGCACCAGAACTCTTGCGCAGTGCCCACGCTTGGGTCCTCTCCTTTCCATTCAATCTGCCACGTGTCGGAGACCATGCCGGCCAGTGAGTATGCTGAAGAAACAAGACTCACTCCCCCGTGCCCTGAGCGTTCTTGGAACGTCACAGGTTCAACAAGACTCGAGGCACCAGTGGGCAGAACTCGGCGTGACTCATGACTGGCAAAGCATTCTTTTCAATCATGGAAGGCTAAACGCGTTCGAAATGCCATCGTACAAGCCCCAATGCAAGTGGATCATGCTTCGGACCCACAAGACCGAACGTCGCTGTTTTCGCATTGGGCACTTTCCTAAGGCCCAACTTTGCCACGCACTCGGGTTTCGACCCACCAGCACCTTGGGCAGGTGCGGCCAGACGGTGACACAATTCCTTCGACTAAGACCAAAGCCAGTTGCCTAATTACATTGTAAATCACAAGTAAGCTGTCAGTTTAGGCAATGGAGAGCTTTGCTCGAACATGTGATAATATATGACATGACATCCAAGTTCATAAGAGTGAATGAGTGCCTCATACATCCTCATACATGGGTTGCAATCTGACTGTTAGTTAAGTTGCTAATGAACAGGTTTGGGAATGGCGAGTGGCACACTCAGAATGCTTTAATTGGCTTTCGGATTCACTAGGAGTGCCCACAAGACAGGGTCAATGTCCAAATCAAACTGAGGGCAACTACGGCTGGATTATTCCCATGGAGCCGGTGAAGCACCCAAAGGCCTGCTGTGAGTTCTGGGTCTCGACTGAAAGCTTCGAAGAATTGCCCTAGTCGGTGAATGCGATGTCAGCACGTCAGCAGTCAGCCGTGTGACTCTGTGCCCCTTTTGAATGCGGATGCATGTGCTGCATGTGTCGGAGGCTTCAATGCGGCAGGGTCGAATCTTTGTAAGCCGCACCGATTTGGCCGCATCCTCCAGCCGTCGGTCGATGTTGCAGACCATGCAAAGACGGCAGCCTTTGGATCCAAGATTTTTCAAGTGCGTTCCTCCAACCGTCCAATGCTGTCTAAAAGTCTAACCATTTGCCATTCCAGTTTGGGCGCTCTTCCCTCAGGCCAACTCCAGGGACTTGATGCCGGGCACATTTGTGCAGTTCCAGATTTTTGAGGAGAGAATGACTGACTCTGAAGCCGAATTTCCTTAATCTAGAAGTTTTCACATGTTCGGTCGGCATGACATTGCATGACAGCCACACAAATCAGCAGACATGCAGGACGAACAAGGTTTGGGTGCGGAGAAGTGCTATGCTTTCAAAGGCACGTGGATCAAATATATGTACATCAATGTATATATTGTACAATGATGATATGGTTTTGTGCATAGTTGCTACTGTATATATTACGCATTGATTGCAGCATATCTCCACTTTGATGTAGGCAATTTATAACTTAGAATCTGAAGGGAATCATTCGATGCCATACGTGCCCATGGGCACGGGCCAGGTCCTCCGAACTTCTTGTTTAAGGGCAAAGGAAAAGGCTGGGGACTTATGCACCTTGAAGCCGTGTCAGGAGTCATACAATAGGATGTTGAGCCAGGAAAGCGGTCATTTAAGTTGTATCCTTTACTAGGCTGTTTCTAGTTTTGCGCGTTGCCAAAAGCTGAGGAAAGGGCAAGAAAGGCGAAGGGAAAGGGCCTAGCACTCAGAGCACAACCAGAGACTTGCGCCTGCCTTTGCCACTCCAAGAATAACACCATGTGTCCCAGAAATCAAGTTCCCTTTCTGCAGGAAGGGGGCAAAGGGTGAAGAGAAGAAGGACAAACCGGAGGCTGGGAATTCGACCACCTGTGCAACAAAGTTTTAGGATTCAATCAGCATGCAACACCTGGACTGGACTGCTGAATTTTCGGATTTATTTTTGTGGATATTCGATTCATGACAATTAGATTTGCCAGTCGAATTAGAACTGTTTCTCCTCAGGCAGGGGCCGCACCAATGGAATAAACATGAATAAGGTCTATAATTTTGATTTGTTTGAGAATGCGGGCTCAGATCCCAATCCGGAGGCATGCGAACTAGGGTCATTGTGCATGCGAACTAGCGCTAAGGGTGGCCAACCACCAAAGGGTCCATCGAGCCCTGGTGGCGGAAAGCCTGCTGGTGGTCGAGGTGAGGACATCTCCTTGTGGCCTTGAGTTCCACCTGCACAGCATATGCAAATGCTTGCATTTCACGGTATATTATAATGGCAATGTTTTTTTCATGCGCGCTTTATTTCAGGATATTTCACGGTTTCTTAGTTTTCTAAGACCCAGGTGAAAAGGGCAAAGGCAAAGGTGGTGGGCGAGGCTGTCGCTGCAGGGCGAGTATACTGTCGTAGACCACTGATGCCAACAGGCGTTGTGTTCGAACAGTCCGAAGTTTGCATTGGCAAGATTCATAGCCGCTCCATCAACCAACTGTTTTGAAGCTGCTGGGCTTGAGAGTGCTCCAGTGTTACTTGCATTCCCTAAAAGACAGTTGGAATGTGATATCGGCACCCGGATGCTTTTTATTACTTCGACTTTTTTCACATGTTTGACGAATGAGACTATGACCACGGTGTTTTAGCCATGGGCTTGCCATGCGTTGGATCCTCGCAGCCACCGTGCTATTGGCTGCACTGCTGGGCGGCTTCATCGGCCGACAGCTTGCGCAGGAGCCCTCGGGAGCGCGTGCGGTTCGTGCCCTGCGGTTCGTGTGTTCCCACGCCCGTGCGGTTCGTTGCTGTCAGGAGAATCTCGATGCCCTCGAGCTCCCTGACAGCGTCGACCTGTTGAGCCAGGCAGCAGGTTTACATAAATAAACATACTTAGACACTCTTCGGCCCCCAATGGTTCCCAGTTATGTAAGTTATATACATTGCAGTTCACATTTGCAATTATATACATTTGCGACCAATTCAATAGGGGCGAAGGGTCAGAGAAGAAGAATTTGAGCTTTGTGAATCAGTTGAATCAGTTGTTTTGCTGTGTTGGGTCCTTCTTCGAGAGTCTCACAGGTCCTGGTCTCAATGGCCTTGTCTTCTGAGGAGCACTTGGCCGCTCGCAGTGCCTATGAGCGGCTCTTTGGAGATGGGCTCGGCCTTGAGGGTGGTGAGCCGATGACATGGGAGATCTTCCAAGAACGTGACTCGGATGGAAACCCATGGAGCTCTGAAAGATTAGTTTCATAATTAATGAAATTAACTTTAGATGGATTTAACTAAATGTAATGGTTTGCAATTTTGAAGTGGCAACGGCTTGGGGACATCACGCTCACCTTGGCACACACGTTGGTCTAAAATAGGCATTAAGAGGTCTTGGGAGATCCTTGCGCCCTGGAACCAAGAACCAAGGTACAGAAAGTTTTGGGTCAATTTTGGTTCTTCGTTCCAGGGAGGTCCTAAGACCTCTGAGTTCTTACCCCTTCCAAACTAAATCTTGAGCATTTATGATTGAATCGAAGATACTCCGCTGAGCTGACGTGACGTGCCTCAGCTACGGTACACTGACATGTCAGATTGAAATCATTTGGTGAAAGCTCCCTTCTCTATTTAAAGATTTACAAGCACCAATTTTCAGGACAGACTCACTCCGGGTCTGAGACAAACCTTCTCTTCAAAAGGCGGCCATATCCATATCTTCTTTTAAGCTTTTTCAGTGCAGCATCATCTAGAACAGAATGCTCATTGCTTGTGAAATTAGTTCTATCTCATTGCTATTTGTTTTGGGAGGCACTGTCCAGTGAACAACTGTTTCCGTTTCTTTCGAAGGTATCCTCTTTGTGTAAAGGCACCATTTCTCTGTAGAAGAATGCCCTTCCAAATATCTATAGAGACCTTTTTCAATTCCAATGCAACTGTCTTAAGCCTGTTCTTTCAAAGGCACTATGTATCTTCTAAAAGTGCTTCATTCTAATGGCAACCTCAGGTCTTCAAAGCAGGTACAGATTTCATCATTATTTGCTCCATTCAACGCTGTCCTTCTTGAACAAAAACATGCAGCTGACACAACCCTTCCTGTGGAGACTTTCCCTTCCAATCAAATTCCAACCTTGTTCTTTCAAACCAACCTTATCTCTTAAAGTGCACCTGCATTTTAAGACCAATGACCAATGCCAACTGCGTTTGCACTTTTCAACACATGTTTTGGTGTCAGTCTTGTCCTTTCAAAGCACCCTCCAGTAACAAACTACGATCTACTGTCTACTGTGATTTTTTCACGGGTACCCTGTTTTTTTCAAGGCCTGTTGTTTCTCCAGAAGAACATGCAGTCTAAATAGAGACAGCTACTTACTGGGAAACGTGCACCTTGAGAAGAAAACAAACGAGAAGCTTCCAGAAGTTTTGGGATTGAGCCCTAGAAAACAACAGGAAAAAAAACAACACATCCAGAAGTCTTGCACACACCAGACACGGATCAAATAGAGAAACAACTCGAAGAATTGTCGATCTTTGGAGGGCCAGCGTTTATATAAATGGACACAGCTTTCTGGGCAGAATGGTGGCCTACCAATTCGCCCGCCCACCGCTGTGGCCAATTTCGCGGCACATGGCCCCAACTCGAGGCTACATGGCAGCTGCATTGCGCGAGAGACTCTCCCGGGCGTTCGGGAAAGCTGACCTACCAGACGCGTTCTTTGACCTGGTGTGTTCTTTTTTTCCCCGGATTTAGTTGGAACCTTTCAAGTACTCTCAGGAAGCGCCAGCACAACTGGGACATGTGCATGCAAGTCTTCATTATGTTTTTAAGAGTTTTAAGTATGCATAGGTTTATGCCTGCTTCATCTCGTGTACTGACCTAGCTCCTTCAAGTCACAACCTGCCTGAGGTTGCCGAGTGGCTTTGTGGAGGATGACACGTCGGGGCTTGATTTGACAAACGTGTGACTAGCATGCAATGCAGCATATGAAGCCAAACAGTTATATATAAGCATAGATGAAGATAGCATTCTTGTTCCATTCATCCTAGCTTGTTCCCTTCCCTGTTCGACCGTTCCCCTGGAAGCCGATCCGTTGTTTGTGCAAATGACAGGAGGTCCGAAAGAAGGATGCCCCGACCACACTGGATGGCCAGGCCGAAGATCTCGACATTCATGTTTCACTCGTTTGGAGCACTGAGGTGGTCTCAAAGCCAAACCATGGGAACCCTTCCACAAATTGTGGAGGATCAAAGTGGTTGCCTCATTCCCTTGGATTGGGGAACTGAAGCACCACAAATGTTGATTCTTAGAACCCCTTGGCTGATCAGGGGCAAGACAGACGACTTGAATGAATTGGAATGGGTTCAACGTTCCGGGACGATCAACGATCAACGCTTCAGATGACCCAAATGCTAATGATCATCACCCTCGGGCTATTTGTGAGCAAGACTTAGTAAAACTGGTGGATTCTTCGCAAAGGTGGTGGGAGAAGCGGCCCCTTTCCAGAGAATTAGACAGGATATTCCTCACCTGTCCACCAACATGCTCAACAAAGGTGCAGGCTTTGTTCATGACTTTGAAGCCACTACTGCCTGCGTTGAAATTCCTGTGGGAGGCTACAATTGTTCCTTCCCATGTCACTATGTGTTTTTTCATTTACTGTTTGTGTCCCATGACGCCATGACATCCTTTCTGAACTACAGGTGGAGGCACTTCTGGCCCAGAAGCGTCAATTCCTCGCAGTAAAGGAGATGCTGCTGGAAGGCACCGGAGGGCATAATATGCACGATATGCACCTCATTATATGGTTGGTTGATGCCGTTGATGCCTACCTGCCACCAGGTAAAGAGGAACAGAGTTTGACTGCTGGCCCAGTTCCTTGTGGCAGTCCTCTCTATGTGTTTGGGCTGCAATGGAAGTGGTCAGGAAACACGGCACAATGATGCAGAATAAGAGATCTTGGTTAAACTTGAAGTGAGTCAGCAATTTTGTTTAATTGAACCATTTCTGGTAAAGAGAAGGTGGAGCAGCTGCTACCTTTTAGCAGAAATGCCGCAAGGATGAGCATGTATATAGCCAAGTTGACGGCTGCAGTGCCAGCGACACGAAGTCACCCTCATGCGGCCGGTGGATGCTTCAAGAAGTGGCCAATGAAGAAGAGGTACACCTTTTGTCAGAGACAATGGCAAACCAAATTTGCAAGGCAATAATGCTTGGGAACACTTTCTATAACAGTTATAGCTATTATACATTTGATATTTGGGCGGGGTTGGTTGGGGTGGGATGGGTGGATTTTCTTTGGCTTCATGCAGCACTTTCTCCAGATGTTGCACCCCCCAAATGGCCATATTCAACTCGCCCAGCGCAGGACGAGCCGACACAAACGAACAACAGCGATGATGACAGACCTCACTGAGGCAACACTAGATAGACTCAGATAGACAGCACCCTGACCCCTTGGCAATTTACAGCTCTAAATTAAAGGCTTGGCATTGTATGAGACACTGTCCTTTATACACAGGCTTTGCTTGAAGTCTTTGCATGGAAAGATGGAGACGCTTGTACACACCCTGGACCCCGGGTGTCCCGATTCTATAGTGATTTCGATGCGTAGGTGCTTTGCATCCTACAGTTCTATAAGCTTATCATGAGGAATTTAAGCTTCCACTGGGTGTGATCAAAAGAGTATACAATAGGAAAAACCAAAGAAAAAAGTAGCATCCAAAATAGCAATACATAGCATCAAACAAGAAAAATACAACAAACAAAGGAATAAAAAAAACACAGGAACAAGACAACATGGACGAAACAAAGAACGCATCCAGAAAGGATAAACACGGAAACCCAACCATGAACAAAGAGCTCAGGAGCTGGGTCCTGGCGGAATTGGGTGGGGGTCCAGCAAGGACCGCCCCCAAAGGATTCCATTTGGTGTTTGGACCCGGTCTGACGCGAAAGCAGCTCGCCTTTCCAAAAACTGCAAACTAGCAAAAACCTCGAAAAAAGAACATGAAAACAATTTATTGGGAAAATTAGGACAAACATAGGCCGCTCGACCCCCGCCCTGAACACCCCCTGCCGCCTCCACCCACACCCCTCCGCCCGTCGACCGCCCTTCCCACCACCCTCCCTTGAACTCTGTTGATTGTTTAGTTTGCCTTACCTGTTCAGATGTTTGATTCTATGCGTGTGATCCTTTTTGCGGCATCCTTCCTTTTTTTTGCTTCTTTTTTGGTGTGTGTCTTCTAGATTTCCTATATTGTGTCCTATGTTTTCCTATATATTTGTCCCAATGTTTGTTCTATGTATGTTTTCTATTTTCCAATGCCAAGCTTCATTCAGGTCATCATAGACATATGCCACAACTCTTGTGTATTTTTGTGTCTAGGATCACAGGCTATTCCACGTTACCCTCAGGCCTTCGGCCTCGTAGATCTGGAGCGTGCTTGTGCTACTTAATTTTGACTGCCTGGTACTCGTATTTTATCATTTATCATAAGGGCACGCCATGGGGCCTGCGTTTTGGAAATCTGCATGTTTAAATATGTAATTATACAACAATACAATAAGCATCGCTAAACAATAAAGACATCGTTTTAAACCATGAAGAACATCCAAAAAGCCTTAGGAGAACCGAAGAAAAAGAAACGCAATTCTCAGAAACTCTTGGCTGGACCCCCCTTCCCCAAGACTTCCCCAGTTTTTGTGTTTTTTGTCCCAAGTTTTCTTTTTCAGAATTTATCAGTTTTCTAAATTTCATTCTAAGACAATCTGTGCTATTACTATCTCGTTCAATCTTCAAGCATTTGAGCCTAAGTCTCACCTAGCGTCATTTGTTCTTTCTTTTTACAACTGAAAGCGTCCGAGCCCAACACTTCCTTTGTCCTTGTCCAAATCTCTATGTACAAGTCTGTGTGCATCAACTTCTGATTGGTATCAGTGCTGTTGCATTTCCAAGGAGCTTGACATATGAAGCTGTAGTTGTGGTTCATTTCTACTTCAATTCTACTTACAGTAAATTCAGATTCAAGTCTGGTGTTCTGATTTAGTTCTAACTCAACCACCATTTGAATTCTAGATTGGTTCTATTGTGCGGCTAAATTAATTGTTTGAACTTTAAGTCCATTTTAATTCAATTTCCAATTTACTTCTATTTCACATCTACTTTAATTCTAGTTTAATTCTATATGTCACGCCTAATTTAATGCTAATCGACCTCTAAGTTAATTAATTGAACATCAGTTTTAACTAATATAGTCAATTCAGTTCTAATAATTACAGTAGTAATATATTATTCGTATTCTAGCTTACTAGTAGTGCAAATTTAATACAGTTTTGTTTTAATGCAATTAAAGACTATTCAATTCTACTTCAGTTCTGATTGATTTCTACTTTAATTATCAGATAGACTGTTCTAAAAGTAATCTTTAGGAATACTCATTTCTATATTGAAGAACCTTTAGTATTTCAAAAGCTTTCCTTTAGATCTCTCGGAATAAGCATTTCTAAGTTTGGAAAAACCTTATATAACAACTGTCAAATAGCATTCATCTAGATCTTTGTGAATGATCACTTTTTACAATAACAGCTGTATACAAGCTTTTATGTCAAAGGGTGTCCGCTAGATCTCTGGGAATAATTCTTTCTATATTTAAGAAGTTTCTTTTTTCAAAAGCTGTCCTCTAGATCTCTGGCAATGACAGTTCATGTTAAAAGCTTTCCTCTGGATCTCTGGAAAAGTAGATTTCCCAGATAATGGTATGTGTTATTTATCTTTGTAATATATGTTTCGCAGTATCAGATATGGAGGGCAGGCTGCCACTTAAGAATTTAAGAAACATTTATGGAAAACCAAAAGGAAGGCCCCATGGCGTGCCACTCTCTATTTTATAGTGGATAGTGAAAATTGTGTGTCTCAAGGTTAATGCTTGTCAGTTTATGACCTTGCTATGTACATGGCATTATCATTCTTTTGTGGCATTCTCCATTCCCACGTTTGGAGGCAAAAACAAAACACAGACGGCTGACACAGGTGGCAGCAATGAAGGAAACTGTGCTTCAGGCCAAGTGTTTGATGTGTGTGTGTGAATCCTGACGCAAATGCTTCCAGAAAGTTGCATGTGAACGATACCCTGGAGACTCTACTCCGTGCAGAGGCTTTCAAACATCTTTTCCACGCAGGGCCTATGACATCTTTGGCCGTGGATTCAAAAGCATGGCCTTTGCTGTCTGCCAAGATGCTCACCCAGGACCTTCAAAATGGGTGCGGTGGGGGTTTTCAAGAGAGCATGAGGCCTCAGAAAAGCTACACACTTCATAGTTTTTGCATAGATCCTGTCCCATTTTGTGACTAGGACTTGCTGCAGCGCTCAAGGCGTTTGGATTCCAAGCTTTAGGGAGATTGGAGTGGATTGGCCTCTGGAATGGCAATCATTTCCTTATCTCACTTGATATCATATATATATATAATCATCAATGTGTTGATAGGGCTGTAGTCCATTCTGTTTAAGCAGTATTGCGTCGTGTTGCGTTGAACTATGCACGTTACAAGTTGAGCCAGTTGAGGCAGGCCATCTCGGGTGCTTTGGGAATTGAGTTGTTCTTCAGCGGCGCTTTGCTGGTTCGGCTCCAGATCCCTCCCATTGAAGGCGTAGACTTGACTTGTGGACCTGGCAAATGCTGAAGTCAAGCAATGCCATGCACTGACAGGAGCGTTAACCAAGGATGCCCTTATCCCTATATATATATAATCCCTACCCCCTTAATGCTCTGCAAATGGGGGGGTCCTCTAGGAAATGTAACTTACATTTTGAGATGGGGGGGTGGGGGGTCAAAAAAATGTAAGTTACATTTAGGGAGGTCCCTTAACTCACTCAATTCCTAAATGTAAGCTGACTCCCCCCTAGGATTTGTTGTCGGTGGCTTTTTGTTGTTCAGGAATCATATATGCCATCACATATATATATATATACACATTTTGTTGGGGGGTCCTGTATTGCTTCAAGTTCAAGTGTTTACATTCCTCAAACCTGTTGCTTGTAACAAGCTTGATGCTGCTGGCTGGCCGGCTGGCCTTCGATTACTGTATATAGACTGTCCCACTTTAAATGATGAGTCCATTGCTTTGTAGGTGATATGCAGCAGAATTCTAGCCTTGGCGATGCATTCGCAGCACACGTTGACAAGGCGGTCAGCTTTCAGACAACTTTGCCGGAGTGGCACCCATTTTCAAGTATCATGCTTCCTTTTTCATGCCTGCTTCACTTATGTGCCCATTTCAGGCCAATGTTGCCTCGTACGACTGGAGCGCCCTACTCTACTTGAGCTCAGCTGGCATAGACTTTGAAGGCCTGGCTGCTGGCGATTCTAAACGGACCATAGAAGACCCGAGGACTTAGACATAGATCCATTGCAGTTCTGGTTGCTACGAAACAATTCAGCTTTACTCGCCTTCAGGTGGTGAGCTGCTCTTCCTCAACACACAGAAGGACAGCGTCCTAGCTCCTGTGGCTGGGCAACTGGCCTTCTTTAGCTCTGGCTTGGAGCCCCTCGGCCATTGACACATCCATCTACTGTACCTGTTTGCTACCTGCCTGTACCTCTCCACCTCTCCACTTACCCGTCGAAGTGCATACAACATCATACAGCATCCGCTGAATAGTGCTCACAAAGTCCGCCATTGAACACAAAATCCGCAGTTGAACGCATTGATGCTCCACAGATTTAATGATTCCAAGGCTGTTTGATGCTCCAGTTCTCAGGAATGTTCACCGTGTGAAGCCCATGGTGCGGGGCTGCCGGCTGGTGCTGGCCATGTGGTTCACCTGCAGCCAAAGGCACCGGCACTTATTGCTTCATTCATGCTCAATCCTCCACAAATAGCTGGTTTCTGATGTTTTGTTTGATCATGCTCGAGTCCTTTCCTGATGCTGTGATATTTCGGATTCTATCGTTCTTAGCAGCTGGAGGCACTCTCATCCTGACTTAGAAATCCACGCTGGACATCTACGGGAGACGTGACCAAGACTCGAGGTTGTTGAGTTGTGATGGGCCTGGCGGCCGCCAGAAGTTGCAGTAGGGCTGGAAGAAGTAAGGAGCCGTGCAAGTTCATCCCATGAAGACCAGATGGGTAAGCTGCATGCGGTGCCGTCACTGCAGACAGCTGATGAACGCGAAGAGGACAAAAATTGCGATGATAGGGTAGGTTGCACCGCTGGATCACTGGCAGCTTTTCAAGTGCAAAGCTCACCCCGTTGCACTTGCAAGTAGTATATATAGCTTTTCAGGTCGCGATGGTGCACCGGGGGGACCAAAAGGTGGGATAGGGTTTTGTCGATTTTTTTGGGCTTGCAATTGCCAGGTCAACTGTGAGAAACTCATTGCCAAATTAAATTTGCTGTTGAATTATTCACTTGCTTTCAGACTCTTTTGTATCAGGCCAAGGGCCCAAGGGAGAGAAGGGCAAAGGCCGCAAGGGCAAGGGCTTGGAGCTCAGTGTTTGGTTCATAGCGCTCTCACTATTTGTATATTTATTGGGAGGAGTTTTGACAAGAAGATAATGGTTGAACGAGTTTGCTGTTTGGACCTGCTTCCGAATATTGTTTGTCGTTCTTGCTCCTTTGGTTGGCTCGCAGTGAAAAGCCAACGTACAGCTTAAGTCTCCCAAAAGTGCGTACCTTTGTCGTGATTTCCGGACTGTTGCTGTCCTCGCGTTTCCTGTAGTTCTGCAAAATTTTGGATAGCAAGTCTAGAGCAAACCCCAACAGAGAGAGCAAGCTAAAACCTTGAAAAGACCTGTATTATCCTGTATTCATAATTCTCCGTTCAATATGTGCAATTATAACACTTTCATTGCAGCTCAACCGATAAAAAGGCCGGTTAGTCTTCAGTCGGTCCACCACGACTTGCTCAGGTCCAGAAGATGGCAAAGGCAGTGTTTTGACAAGCTTTCACTTCAGCACTCGTAGTGCTGAACTGGAGACATTTGCAGTACTCGATCATGTATTGAAGAACAGTGGAGTACTGAGTACAGTATTTACTCAGATGAGTTAACTACGTAGCAAGAAGCTACTAGGTGGAGCCCATCGCTATTAGGTTGGAGGTCATTCCCACCAGTAACAAGAAGCTACTAGTTCGCTACTAGGAACAAGGCTTATATCGCCACAGTATCGCTGTGTTGGACCATCAGGCGGCAAGTCGCGTGGGGCTTACTCTCAATTCATTCATTGAATCCTACAAGGCACCACAAGGCAAGTCAATCACAACAAAGCCTCGGGACTAGACAGCGCTGCATTGCTGACAGACAGCGCTGCATTGCTGTCACAAAGAATGCTGCACTTCGTTTTGACAGAGGTAGTTTGGAGCTTCGCCTAGCTGAGGTCCGGCGGCATGAATCCAAAGGCCAGGCCCTGTGGCCAATGCTTATGTCGCAAACTTTGTCCTTATGCCTTCAAGGTTTTTTCTCCACACTGTCATGAGACTGTTCCCATATCTTCCCTGATCCTTTGTTCAAGTATGAGGGTCGTCCGGAGCCTGTGGGCAGAAGCTTCGAGGTATGCAAGCTATACAAGGGAATGTGATTTGTGTGATTAACAGCAGCGATGACTTGTCAGTTGAAGAAGGGTCTCGTCATCATGTTTGACGTGGTTTGTCATCCTTTTGAAGTGTCATGTAGAATCCATAGGCAACGCGTTGATGTGCCATACTGTGGTGAGGTGTAGTGTGGTGATTGGTGCTGCGGTGAAGCGTAGCGGGGTGATTTGTGGTGCGGAGTGTAAGGCGATGCTTTGTGATGTAGTGAAATGCTATGTAGCAAAGTGTAGAGTCTGTAGAGTGGTGCTTTGTGTGGTGGTCACACCATCAAATCGATACTGTTCGACTTTTCGGCACATTTTATAGCATTTTGTCTACTGATACGCCTGTTATCCATTGTTATCCCCTCTTCAGAAACCTCTGCCGCTACTTTTTGGATCCTGCACTTTGTTCTTAATATATAATTGCCTTTGGACAGCTTTGTCTAGAAATCTGTTCAATTCAATGCTTGTTTGCAAATGTACTCGTACTTGTTGAATCTTTTTGATACGTTTTGTTTCAATAAATCATTGAGCTCTACAAACCTCTTTTTTTTGGCTACTTTTCTTTGGAGGCCTCTACTTTTTGATACTTTTTCTCTAGACATATTATATTTGTCTACTTTGTGATGCTTTTAAAGCTTGGGCAGCCCTGACAGTTTGTTCTGCATACTCTCGTGCATTCCATCAATGAACATCAATGGATTCAGTTGCCCATTATTTCCCAACGGGACTGCGCGACTGACTGCCCCCCTCTCGGCAGCTCTACTCTGCCATCGGGTTGTGCATCCTTGGAACGGAAATTCCGTGCAAGACTTCTTGATGCGAAGCGAACGACGCAGGACACACTCACGTTCTGCCCCACTCACGTTCTGCCCGAGCCCCAAGCTGGGCAAAACCGTTGCTTTACCAGAATCCGTGGTCCGCCCAAACTGCTCTCTCCCCTACGTTGTATACCGACGATCACGCAGGACCACATGACGTGCACGCCCTGGAAGATTGACATGGAACCTGAAAACCATCGGGTTGTAGAGAAAAATCGTCTGCCAAGGGCCAAGGGTCCATTGTCAGGTTCCATGTTAATCTTCCAAGATGTAGCTGTCTTCTCGTAACTGGTTTGTATGGGTCCTTATGGGTCCTTGCTCGCGCCTTCTCGATTGGCATCTGACATCGATTGGTATCTCCTCCCATCTCTTCCTCCCTTCTTTCGGGCGCCCGAGCTCAAGCCACATGGACAGTTCAACTGGGAACCGATCATGTCAAGTGTTTGAAAGGTCAAGTGTTTTTTAAAGCCTTCTAGAAGATAGAGCCAGAAGAGATTCTTGAGGAATGCATACGAATGCCCTTTGCCTTCCGCGCGGCACCATCTCCCCATCCCCCTTTGAAGGATTGCCCAGTGATTCAATGCTTCACCAAAACAAACTTCCAGTTCGACATCGCCAGACATCGCATCGCCACATGGCAGCCTGGCAGCAACATCCGGTGACGACGTCATTACGTATCATTACACTTCGCAATACAGTTCACCAGGTGACCACACTGCACTTCACCTCCGAGTGCCTTTCTCATGGCTCCTCAAGAGTGGATCACTCGAAGTAGTTCAAAAATATAATGTTTTAAATCATGGTGTATAGTCTGTATAGTGTTGCTTTTGTGGCGGAGTGTATGTGTGTGTGTGACACACAGTGAAGACTCGGTTGGCTTCCCGTTCACCCTACAATCGTGCTTCATGCCAGGGTGCGGGACGTGGTGGTTTAGGCCAGAACTTTCTTATCTTTTCTTTGTGAACCTTTGTGACACGTCATATCCTTGTTTATCGGAGAAGAAGGACTTAAATCAGAATCTGCATGAATCTGCTGAGCCACCATGTGACACCTTTTGCGTGGTTGCAACTCTACTGCCTTTTCTTTTTCGTGCAGGATATATTTCAGTGCATTGGCTGGCTCCGCAGCCATATTGGCAGGATCAAGGTGGAAGGTGCAGAAAAACAAATGTCGCAGACTTGGGCCAAGAAGTCTTGGGAAAGACCCGAGAAATGGAACTGGGCATGGGACTCATGGAGCAAGCCAAGGTCATATGGACAGAAATGGTCCTGGCACTCTCGCAAGGATAGAGGAGAGAGGCTTCATGGATCTACTGAACCCAAAAGACCTGAGGAGCACCCATTGGCTGAGGACCAGAAAAGAAGTTCGGAGGTGGAGGACTGGAACGACCAGCTCGAGGATGAGGTCGGTGATGCAGGCGGTGACACAAAGGACTCAAGCATAGAAAAGACCCAAGAGGTTCCTCAAGAGGCTGGTCAAGCTGGGGAGGAGCCAGATCAAGATGGTGTTCCTAGCTGGTTGAAAGCTTATTATGAAAGGAAAGACCTTTCGGATGGAAAGGGGGTAGAAGCCTCAGATGATTGGCAAGCGCAATCCTATGTGGATCCAAGCTGGTTAGTTTGGAATACAGAGATGGCGTGGGCTTTTGGTGCTGAGGGTTCTTCAGAAGCGCAAACCATGCTGCTCCACTGAACTTTAACATGTGTTTTGTCGCACCGTCGCATCGTACATGATCCCCAAAGGGCAGACATGGAACACTCAATTCAAAGCCAATCAAGTCGTTGCAGACAGAAGTTGTGGTCGTTGCTGTCCATGACGCCGAAGAAGTGTTCTCAACGAAAACGGCATTCGGCCGTGTTTTCAGCCGAGGTTTGGAGAAGGCTTTGCTTCGCCATGGCTTTCTTCGGATGCGTGGAATACCAAGGAGGGAGAGAGCTCCGAGGCCAATGAGAATGCCGCGAATGCCCAATGGGAGCGCTCTCAGTGGTGCGGAAAGCGGCACGAATTGGTGCCCAAGAAGGCAAATCTCAAGGAGCTAAAGCTGGGCAGGGACCGGCAGGGATGCAAACGGGTGGCACCTTTTGTTTCTAGGGGCAATCATTCATGTTCACTACGAAAGGCAAGCACAGAAGTGTGTTCGTGAACGAGAATGGGGCGACGGCATGAACGAAACTAGGGCAACTAGGCTCGCGTTGTTTTTCTTTAAGATCACCCAACCCTGTCGAGGAGCAGTTCGAGAAAGGTGAGACAAAACTCGAAACTACTTTGATGCTTAGGAATGTTCCCAATGCTTATGACCGCGAGACCCTGATGGAAGAGCTTGATAGTGTTGGCTTTGAAGGATTATTCAACTTCCTTTATTTGCCAATCGACTCTGCCACAAAGAACAACGTGGGGTATGCATTTGTCAACTTTAAAGATGAAAGCAGTTGCCGAGACTGCAAGAAGAGAATGGATGGCTACTTCTTCAAGGGGCAGCCTTACAACAGAAAGAGAGCTGCCATTGTGTCAGTGGCACACTTGCAAGGCTTAGCAGCCAACTTGGAACACTACAGCCGAACCCAAGTCTTCTATGCGCCTTTGCCTTGCCAAAGGCCTTGGGTTGCACCAAGTGCTGCCAAAGAGCTGCTTGAGAAAGGATGTAGTTGGGCCCCGGCCGATTTTGCCAAGTTGGTCGAAGATGCAGCGGCCCGTCCGGGCACGCAGCAAGATGAACAGTCCTTCCACAGAAGACGTATGCGAGAGCAATCTGAGCAATGGTGGCCTATCTTCACTGAAGCTCAAGCTTATGAGATGGCAATGACCTACTACTTTGCTCCGGAGCTGTTGGGTGAGGATAGCGGCTTGGCTCAGTACCACAATCCTGGCCAGATTTCCCGCGAGCCTGAGGCACCAAGAAGTGAGGAGAAAAGTAGCCAGGACAAGAGTGGTGACCTTGTAGATCGTTTGTCGCAAATGTTGAGAACCGGGAGTCATCAGGTTCCAGTGGACGGTGAGGGTGAGGACGACGCTGACGAGTCACCAGTCGAAAAGACGCAGCCGTGGTTTGGGTGGCCAGAATTTCTAGACATGGAGAGAACTTGCTCTTCAACATCAAATGTGCCCAAGAACATGGACTGCGAAGCTGGGGCTCCTCCAGTGCCGTCACTCACCCTGGAACTGCTCAACGTGCCCTTGAGTACCACTGAGTGGGACCTGCGTCAAATCATCGAACATGTTGGAGTTCATTCCCCAATCTGGGTGCAATTTGAGGCAGGTGCAACTCCTGACCAAAGAAGAGTCACATTGCACTTCAGTAACAAAATGGACCTGGAGATTGCAGATGTTACTTTGAGTGAGACTTGTTGGAATCCAGAGGATGGCGGAGCTCGCATCAAAATCTACCGCCCAGACGAGGTTCCTTGGACAGTTGCTATGCCATGGGATTTTGCAGGCACAGATGCAAGTAAGTCTTGGATTTTTCCACCAAGCAAAGAAGATGTCAATGAAGTGATCAATGGCCCGGATAGCGAGGGCATTTGCCCTGACTCTCCTGCTCCCGCCCGATCAGAGCAAAGCTTTGGTCGCGAGGAGTTTGAGAAACACTGGCCCAGTATCTCTGCTGGCAATTTGCATGCTAAATCATAGGTGTACAATGAGATCACCTAGAAGCGGCAGATGGTAGCACAAGCCCTTGCATGAGTTGCACATGTATAGATTTGGGGGGAGTGTTCACAGATTCACACATTGCACACCTTACCTGAGGATGACGATTTGGTTGCCGATTGGGGGTTAGTTGTGATTGTTATTCCAGTCCTTATATCAGAGTGGGGCGCCGTCATTGTGTCGTGGCACAAGTTGGCTGTATGGTTCCTGCGGTGTTTTTTCATCCTCAGTGCATTGCTCTTGAAGTCTTTTTTCACACGATCAGCACTGTCTCTACTGGGGTCAACTGGAAGGACAGTTGACAGTTGAATCTTCCACGAAGCGCACGAAGCAGCCAATGAGGTGCTTAAGATGGCCAATGAGATTTCCCCACACCCACAGTGATACAGTGATACTGCTTTGTGCGTCAGGGACGCAAGATGACGTGGGCCAAAAAGTTTACGAATCAATCTCGGCACCTCATTGAACTGCGGACCTTGAGCAGCCGGCCTAGCCTGCCAATCAAAAAGAAGTTTGGATAGAGTCTGGTTGGGTGCGATCAATGAGTGAGACTTTGGGAACGGTCAACTTTGCAGAACATTCATGTGCCCACCTTGCCTGTGGAGTGTGCCGATTGCCAGATCGCGATGGGAAAGGGCGTGGCAAGGCATTGCCTGGAGGCCACATGATCGGTTTGTTTTGGGCGCGTCCAAGTATCGCCAAGGGCCAGTCTACCGAAAAAGTGCAATATGTCAAATGTCACTAGAAGTTATACCGAGGCTGCCTTGTGTTGAATAGTCTTGCTTTATACAATGTGATTGTGCACTTGTTTGCTAATAAGATTGATGTATATAAATACACATATCTCTATATATATTTATATATTGATGTATTGTTGACTCACTTGACAACATGGGCTTCTTACCGATTTGATGTTGGGCAAAGACTTGCCGGCCCTTGCGATCGTCCCTGTCGGGCTGACAATGGTCACTCCCAGCGTAGGATACAAAGTGCACTTGCCAGGAAAGGAGATGCAACATGGAGGTACATATATAATATGAGGGACAATCAAGTCATGTTGGTTTTCTTTGAATAAAAGCTTCAAACAAAGAAGCCCAAGTGTGTGTACATTCGGGTGCAAGGGGCGAGAGAAAGGGCCAACAAATGTCGAGCCCAAATAAGCGATGGACGTAGGTTTTTGTTCGTTCGCGGAGGCGATGAACAGTCATGAGACATCATGAGACGCTGTGAGCAGGTCCGGATCGTGGTGCTGGCCCAGGAGGCAATGACCACAATACTCTTCAGAAAACAGGAGTGAGCAGTAGCTGGAGCAAACCGATTGAGAACTGAATAAAGTAATGAACATCACAGAACACATGCAACGCATGTTCTTCTGTTCTTTTTTCTCTTGGGGGGGGTCAGTGCCCATAAACAAGTGGGTGCATGACAAATGCCAAGCCAGGTGTACCTGGCCAGTCGCCGTCAGGGGTGCCCGATATGCTGGGTGAACAGGGCTTGGTTGTGTCTCTTTAGAGGTTGGCCTATTACCATGTGCCGCATAAGCACATTCGTTGCGAGGTCATCTTTTCAAACTCGGGAAATGATAGCACACGACTCGCAGCTGTATGTAGGTGACGTGACCAGAACATTTTGGATGTAGAGACTGAAAGACTGTCAAGGTTGCAGAACTTTGACATTGGTTGATGATGCCTGCCCGTTGCCCGTATGTTTTGAGGCCACAGCAGAAGGGTGGCTCTCAGATGCCCAGCCAGCAGCAGGCATCCTGAAGGGGCCTGTTTGAGAGTTCAGCTGAAGAGTCTTGGATGATTGTTGGAATACGCAAGCCTGCTAGCCTTTGATGATTGTTGAGACCTGTCCAGCCGTTGTCCATGTTCATTTGGTGGTTTGAGCATGTTTGAATGTAGCGAGACTGGCAATTCCGACGTCCGCCACGGCCAGAATTGGGCAGTGGGCCCACTTTTGAATCTATTTCCGCGAACTTGAACAATTCAAGAGCCTTGATGTCTTGCGTGTGTGTTTGTCAGGTTCCCCAACCTCAGCTTCAACCGCAGCTTGGAATGGGAGGAGGCGCACGGAGGATCTTCCTAAAGTGTTTCAGTGTTTGTGTATATTTGTATATTATAAGTTTCTGTTGCCCTAAGAAGTGATTGATAGTGATTGTATCTTCAAGTGGTTCAAGTTTCCCGCACTTACTCATCGTGGAGTTGTGAGATTCCTTGCAGGCGTTTTTGTTCAAGGCATATCTCAAAGGTTTATTTTATGATCTTCAAAGGAGTGCCGGGCAGTAGTTGAGACTGAGGGCAGTTTGCCTGAGCAAAAGAACACTTCTTTACATTAAGAGCCATGCAACTATTTCGGCCATGCAAGTCTTGTGACAAGTATATAATTGTGCTCCATTGGAGTAGTGGTATTAAGGATTAAGTATCAACATGTATCAACCTCTATCAGTGACCTGTGCCATCATTCACGCTTCCCGTAGACGGGCCATTTTCCATCGTGCCTTTGTGGCGCCGCACCTGTCCTGCCCGGCGGAATCGCCTGGCAAGCAGACTGTGTTTGACAGGCATCGGTTGGTGGCAGCATCCGGTTGGGACGCATGAACGTCTTCGCCCTCAAGTGAGTTAAGGGTGGTGTTGTGTTTGTGTTGGTAAAGGGTAGTTAGTAGCCACCCGGGAAGTAGCAAAGGAGTACTTCAGGCCAACATGCAAACTCATTGCCCGTTTCTTCTTATTCAATTTGGATGTCGCCGTGCCACCCTGAATGTGTTCTACGGTCTTGCTTAATTGATATGGGGTGGAGAGAAGAAAGGAATCGGCGGCAATGGCTGATGACCTCCCCAGCACTCACATCGCGTCATCCCGATCGAAAGCCACCTGTTAGACTGTCAGATGTTGCCCTGAACAATCATGTCAAAAGTCAAGCCGCCTGAGCAGGACTGAGCTTGTGACTCGCGCCGCCCACCCAGCCAGTCAAACCTTAAGGTACGATGGCATCACGGCGTGGTCCTGTCCAGAGGTCACCCACCTTCTTCGTCGGCGCAGAAACTTGGCCAATTTGAGAAGACCATGTAGTTGGGTTACTGCCAAACAAGTCTGATCAACTGGAAAACTAGAATTTAGAATGATCTTGAACAAGGTCCAGAAAGTGCTACAGTGCAGAAAAGAAGGTGCCAAACGCAGCAACCACATCCTTCCCTCAGCCCTTCAACCAAAGGAGAAGCAAAAGAAGGATTTGGATGCCTTTCAACGCAGGGAGCAGCAACTTGCAGAGGTCTACTACAAGAACAAGCCTCTTTGTTCCCTGGCGTTGCAGCCAAACAATCCCTTTGATTCTTGATGCCGTGTGCATGGCTGACGGCTACTTCTCCAATGCGTTCCATGTGTATATATATATTTACACATTGTTAAGGGCAACGCCGCCGCTAGCGGCTGTGGGGATTCTGCTACATTTCAAGTGGGTTTTGGGTTGTGGATTTTCGGGTGTCACAGTGCTTCACTTCAGGCCTCCGCCGGTGTTTTCGCGGTCTTTATTTGTGGGGGGGTTCGGGTCACCAGGTTCCTTTCAGGGGTGGTTTGTGGGGTTCCAGTGAGGTTCGGATGGTTTCTCCGTTGTCGTCGCGCTTCGTTCACGTCGCACCTCATCCGTTCGTCTGCCATTTTGGAGACGACTCAAAGAATTCTTACCAAAAGAACTGGCCACAAAAGATGTCAAGAGCCGTCTAGTGAATCCATATATGCACAACTGGGTTTCTGTGTGGCAGTGGCGGCACAATGCCCAGATCCACTGTCAGAACCCTGAACTCTTCCGTTGACCCGCGTGTGCAAAATTCAGCGTGTGCAAAATACCCACAGCCGCTAACGGCGGCGGTGCCTTGCTTGTGTTAATGCATAGGTGCATACACATATGGAAACAATTGGAACAGATGGTCGTTGAAGTCTTGGGCCCCCAGATCTTAGCTCCGTTTGCATGTTCGCCTGTGAGGCTTCAATGCGTGCACATACCAGAGGACTCATCCGGTCAAGGCCAATGCTGGACACCGTGATGCGGATGCCACGCTGGTCTCTCCTATGGCGGCCTCTCGGCTGAAATGTGCTTCTCGGTAGTGCGGGCTGTATGGGGTGTGGCCACTTGTTGATGCGTGGAGAGTGGAGAGAGACCGGCATGAAAGGTAAATTGCGCGATCAGCGCAGGTGCAGGAAGCTCATGGAAACTCCATGGTAGAAGCTGAACCTGACTCACTTCCCAGGTGGGTGTGGCTGACGGAGTATCTCAGATCGAGGAATATGGCATTGACTCGTCAGAGCTGTTTCTTGGTTGAGATGCTAATGTTGACCGTCTTAAAATTTGTTTTAAGTTCATCCCAGACTCCAAGAAAGAATTTATATTAGAAATGAAATGATCCCTTACTAGAACAAAAAATACAATGAAAGGTAGTATTTAAAAAAGAACTGAATTGGAATTGAATTAGAATTGAGTTTAAATTCATGAATTGAAATTGGCTTCGAATTGAAATTGAATTGAATTTGTATTCAATTGAATTGGAAGAATTGGCGGAAATTGAATTGAGTTTAGATTCAATTGAACCTGAACTGAACTAGAACAGCTGATTTGGAATTGAATAAGGATTGATTTTAAATTCAATTGAATTGGAATTGTTGTCAGCAGGTTTTGTGGCTTGATGGTGGAGGATTTAGTTGAGAAGGAATCCAAAGAAACAATTTGTTAACAAAGGGATGCACAGAACCAATTAACCATAAACTCAAACATGTTTTTCCCCACCCGTAGGACTGTGGGGTTGTTAGATTTTTAGAACTTTGGACTTCAGTACGCCCGGTAGCCCAACTTAGCTCTTCCACAGCACACTGGCCAAAGTGA